CAACACAAAAAAATCGCAAGCATTGTTGGCAATTATTAGAAATAAATATTGGCCGCTATCTGGGAGAAGCTTATGTCGCATAATTGTAAGAAATTGCATTACGTGCTTTAAATGCAATCCAACCAAATCACAACAATTGATGGGTGATTTCCCTGAGACACGCATCAGTCCTGGTAGTCCGTTCTAGCGGAATTGACTACGCAGGACCCTTTATTGTTAAGGGCAGGAAGGGTCGCGGCGCCAAAAATCATAAGGCTTATTTATGCATATTTGTCTGTTTCGCCACAAAGGCAATACATTTAGAGCTTGTTTCGGATCTAACGACTGCCGCATTCATTGCATGCTTGCGTCGGTTTTGTAGCAGGCGTGGAAAACCATCACAAATTTTTTCTGACAATGGCAAGAATTTTGTAGGAGCACAAAGAGAGTTAAATGAGCTCGGAAAATTTATATCTGATATTGCAAATCAAAACTCTATAAGAGAAAACTCGAACGAATTCGATATTGAATGGCATTTTATTCCCCCGCGTTCTCCTCATTTTGGGGGGCTCTGGGAAGCGGGTGTAAAATCAGTCAAATCAGCATTAAAACGCGTTGTTGGTAACGCATCGCTTACTTTCGAAGAGCTAAATACGCATTTGATACAAGTAGAAGGTATCCTAAACTCAAGACCATTAACACCGCTTTCAAATGATCCTAATGACCTGAATCCTTTGACTCCGGCTCATTTTTTAATTGGTCGACCAATAAGCGGACCTCCGGATGAAGACCTCACCGACCTACCAGAAACAAGGCTATGCAGATTTCAACGAGTGCAGCAGCTTACCCAGCACTTCTGGCGAAGGTGGTCAAGAGAGTACTTGTGTGAGTTACAGCAACGCACCAAGTGGAAACGCAGTTCCAAAAACAATATTTGTGTCGGTGATTTAGTGCTTCTAAAGGACGAAAACATTGTAACATGTTCATGGGTGCTTGGCCGTGTGCAAGCGGTGCATCCTGGTGCCGATGGTATTGTGCGCGTCGCAACAATCAAGACGTCGACGGCATTGCTAAAACGCCCCGTGACAAGTATGTGTGCTTTGCCAATAGACTGCGCCAAGTGAATTTTTATTGTTGCGTTATTTACCTATGTAAACATATTATCACTTACTTGTTTCTATATTTTAGACATTAAGGTATCTTTACTATTAGTGCATGTTCTATACTTTGAATTGTTTCAACTTTATTTGTTTATGTACAATCTATGTAACTCATTTCCACATGCGCAATATCATTGAAGGATTTCAACCCTTCAAGGCGGGCGGCATGTTCGGGCCAAGTCCGACAAACGTATTGATAACGCGGTGAATTGTTATCATACATTTGGCTAACACCTGCCAGGGGACAGCTGCAATTATATGCTTTGTTCTCCCGGTCAGTCCAGACAGCAGCTGCATCATTCTTGCAACGTTAGCAGGAATGTCCCCAAGATCTGCATTTACTTGATTTATAAATTCATTCGCTCTTGAGCTCTTGTGCAAGTAACACGGTAAATGAACGGTTAAAATCATCAAGAGTTTTCTTCACTGCATACCTCATCCACCACATCACTATCATATCTTGGAGCGCGATGTTAGACCGGCTAAACTCAGCCAGAGTCGCTTGAGCATCGCAAATAAAAATCGGGCAAACCGTCTTCAGAACCAGGAAGACAAGCTACGCAGGTTTCGCCCCAACAGTATCAATCATTTAACTCGGTTAACTGTGGTCATTTATGTTTAGAGTTTTTAATGTTATAAACATCATGTCGATTACATTTACACTACATGGAACTAGCAATATACTACAAACTAATTTTTATCCACCAATTGATATTTCAAATGAGTCATATGAAATTGCTCTAATCGGCTTGTATATTGGGAACAACTAAATTTTACTATGATAATGATAAGGTTATAACAATTCCAACAGGAGCTTATGAAATTAGTGACCTTGAAAAGTATCTAAAACTAAAACTGAGAGAAACTCACGCTTTAAAGAAAGAAAACGAGATAATAACACTTAGAGCAAACAATAATACCATTAAATCGGAATTACATTGTGAGTACAATGTTGATTTTTCACCCTCTGATTCAATTGATAAAATACTAGGTTTTTCGGGTAATGAAATATTATCAGCAAAGAAATGGCATTTTTCTGATTTACCAGTTAATATTATAAAAGTTACTAGTATTAGAGTTGAATGTAATATTGTAAAAGGTTCATATTATGGTAGTGAAGAATCACATACATTGTATGAATTGTCACCACAAGTTGATCCAGGTTATGCAATAAATATAGAGCCAAGAAATCATATTTATTTAGCTGTTAACACAAGAACTATTAGTAACATTACACTAAAACTCATTGATCAAGACGGTCATCCAGTTAATTTGCGAGGTGAAAAAATTGTAATTCGATTAGAATTAAGGAACAGTGCAAGAACATGGGACTAATTTACAACAATAGCAACAAAGTGAACCATTATATTGCAGAGTCTACCTCAGATAGTATAAAACGTAAACGTAAACCCAATTTAACCGTTAGTCGTAAAAAAGTCGCTAAAGCGTGTAGTAATATACATAAATCATTAAATAGTGAGAGCAGAAAGATTTTGTTATCATTAGGTTATACTTTAATTTAATATTCCATCATGAACATCAATAACGATTTAAACATTATGGAAAAAATAAACTCTGATGATACAGTTACTAGAGAACAATATCATACATATCAACCGCGAACCAATAACTTCAAAAAGAACGATGAAATACGTATTTTAATTCAACAACAAGATCAATATACCAAACCTTATAAAAGTTACCTATTAGTTGAAGGAGAGATAGTGTTACCAGCTGCGGTTCAAGGAAACGATCCTCCTAGCGCCCAGTTAACTAGAAATGCATTTTGCTACTTATTTCAAGAAGCTAGATATGAAATAAATGGCATAGAAATTGATCGAAATTACGATGTTGGGATGACAACAACAATTAAGAACTACTTATCATGTAAAGCAAATGATTATAACAACATATTATTTGGTGCAAATTCCACTATGCAAATTGTTTGGTTTTGCTGAAGACTATTGTAAAGTTATCATTAACGCAAGGCAAGAGTTAATATTGTTAAGGTCAGCAACTGATAAAAATTGTTATGTAGGAGTTGATAATGTAAGCATAAACCTAACGAAAGTTGAATGGCACGTTCCACATATCGAGTTGAATGATTCAGCTCGCGTTCATTTTCTCAATCTTCTTAAAGCGGATAAACCATTATTATGTCCGTTTCGTAAATGGGAATTGCATGAATTACCTGCTCTAAAAAACACTAGTAATGATATTTGGTCGGTTAAAACCTCTACATCTCTTGAAAGACCACGTTATGTAATTGTATGTTTTCAAACTAATAAGAAAAATAATCACGAGGAAGATGTAACAGTTTTTAGTCATTGTAATATTAGAAACATTAAAGTATTTTTAAATTCTACTTCTTATCCGTATGACAGTATGAATTTAGATTTTGAAAATAATAACTACATTACGGCATACAATCAATTCATTAATTTTCAATCTAGTTACTATGGTTCGGAATATCAAACATCAACGCCTGATTTATCATATCTTGATTTTAAAACTCATGCGTTTTATGTTTTCGATGTAACAAAGCAAAATGAAAGCGTTAAATCTTCAACAATTGATTTGCGTATAGAAATGGAATCAACTCAAATATTCCCAGCAAATACAAAAGCTTATTGCCTCATTCTGTTCGACTCCGTTGTTGAGTACACACCATTAACGGGTATTGTTCGTAAATTAATTTAGTTGTTATGTTAAAAATGCTTCAAAAGTTTCGCGAAAGAAATGCTATCAGTTTACCCGCGTGTGACGTTATCAGCGCGTGTGTGAATAAACCGCAACGTATTTTATACATTGATATGCAAGGTTTCAACATACCATCATTCACACCAAAAGAAATATCGTTTACCTATGATGGAATCAACATCTACAACTACTTAATTCTACCCAAAGAAAATTATCACTCTTTAGATGGAAGAATTAAACAAACCATCCGTTGGACAGAAAACAATCATCATGGCATATCCTACAACAGCGGATATATTAAATATGACGATTTACCAAACATATTTAAATTGTATGAAACTAATTTAGTTGTAGTAAAAGGAGCACAAAAAATTGATTTTTTAAAAACATATTATAACAATATTATTAATATAGAATTTATGGTAAACTGTGTTAAGTTTGAAAAGCAATTAAATACTACTTGCTTTTTTCATAATAAACTTAAGATTCCATATGTAATGTGCTCTAAACATAATGTAAAAATGATATATAATTATATTCAAGAAAATAAACACATGTTTAATTTTTAATTTTTGAATGTATATTTTATTACTAAATCCTGATTAATAATTTAGTATTTAGCATCATGTCGTCCAATACGAAACAGTGTTGGAGCTCCAAAGCTCAATTCATTGATGGTTGTCCATTTTGTGGTGAAAAGTTCATTAAAACGATAACTGAACCTAAGATTTCAATTAAAACGCATTTACTTGCTCTTTTAATGTGTATAGTATTTTTTCCATGCGCATGTATACCATACATCTTTAACTCTTGTAAAACAGTAAATCATTATTGTTCAAAATGTAATGCCTACATAGGAACTTGCGATAATTAAAACACGTATTGTCTATATAATGTTGTTGTTGCTTATTTATTTAATACACAATTGTCCGTGTGCGCAGTTATGACTGTGGGCAGTACAGACCCGCCGTAACCGGGCGTGCAAAGCGTGCACCGCACGCGGGCGGCACGCCCAGGGGGGCGGCAAATTGAGCGACTTCTTACGTACCTAATTCAAGTTTTTGACAAAACACTTATAGTAGGGCGGCATAATCGGTATTGCACACGAGCGACGAAACAGTTGCACACGGGCGACGAAACAGCTAGCGGCGGGTCTGATACACCATAAGTCAAAAAAATGTTTCCGTGCGATAAGTGTGGTAAAACGTTTGCTAGGAAAGACATTTTAACTCGGCATAAGAAAAGTAGTGTTAGCAAAATTATATGCAATATTTGCAATAAGGAATTTACGCGTAATGATAATTTAAAGCGACATATTAAATTACATTCTTCGCATATAAAGCAATCGGCAACGCTACTACAAAAGAACATCAAGCACCGTAACGACAACAACGTCGAGGATAATGAAGAAAGCAAGATGTCGCAGCATAGATCACCTAAGAAGAAAATCCGACTACAAAATGAAAGTGCGATTGAGTGTAATGTGTGTAAACTAATTTTTAAATCAAACTTTGACTATATTTCACATATCAAAACTAAAAAGCATATTGAACAACAAGGAAAACTATGTTTGAACTCAGTGCAATTAATAGACACGGCATACAAGAATCGAATTCTGACGTATAGAATTTCTTGTGCATCTGATGTGATTATTGATATTACATCGTTCCTCAATAATCATAAACAGACAGTTATGCATCTTGTTGAGGATACATTTAAGAACTTACCTTCATGTAAAGTAAACATGGAATTATTTGCTTACTTTACGAAAATGTGTCAAAACAACGATAATGATGATGATTGCAATGAAAACGTTATCGACTTAAAATCGTTTATTACAAAGTTTAAAATTATGTCAAAAACATCAGATTTAAATCAATTGTGTGAAGAATTTTTTAATGAACTATTAAAAAAAAGTGAAGAGTTTCAAGAAAGGGATAGCGGCTGGGCCTTGTTTGCTATCTCACATCTTATCGTAAACATTAATAAATATCAACCGATTCGAGGTGGTAGCTACATTCCTCTACCAAAGAACATTGAGCTGAAGAAGGCCTGCGTTAACATCCTCAACAACGATGACAACTGTATTGGATGGTGCATCGCCGCCGCTATGTACCCTATTGAAGAACATTGCAATCGTCCTCAAAAGTACCAGCAGCATATCGATAAAATTAACTTAAAAAACGTTTCTCTCACGTGCAGTATCAGTGACATTCACATTGTTGAGAAAAATAATAATGTAAGCATTAATGTTTATGGTTTATATTTTGATAATGAGTCTAATTTGCATATGATAGAGGGGCCGCTTTACTATTCAAAAAACAAAAAAGAACTTCATATAAATTTATTACTGCTGCAAAATAATGAAAAATTTCACTATGTACTAATTAAACACTTATCACGATTAGTAGGTAGTCAAATTAATTCACACAATGGTAGACTCTATTTATGTGATGGATGCTTACAATATTTTAATAATTCATTTAAATTAGACGATCATTTAATGTATGGTTGTACAGGAGTTTGCTTACGATTACCGGATAGTTCAAAATTCATAACTACATATACAGGGGAGCAAGTACAAGAGAGCATAATGAAATTTACAAATTTTCAGAAAAAGATAAAAATGCCTTTCATTGTAGTTGCTGATTTTGAGTCGCTACAAATTCCTATTAGTACATGTGCACCTGATTCAAATAGATCATTTACGCAAAAAACACATAAACATGTCCCATATTCTTTTGCATACTATATAATTTGCGATTTTGATGAGGAGAAGAATAAATTTGTTACATACACAGGACCTGATTGTTCAACAGTATTTGTCGAAAAATTAACTCAAGACGTTAAACATATCTATAATACATATTTTAAATCTATTACTCCCATTATTCAACCTACAGGATTTGAGGCGTTAAAATATATGTTTGAAGATAAATGTCACATTTGTGAGAAAGAATTTTCCATTGATAACTATAAAGTAATGGATCACTGCCATTTAACAGGTATAGTACGTGGCGCTGCACATCTTAAATGTAATTTAAATTATAAACTTCCGAAAATAATACCAGTATATTTTCACAATTTAACGGGGTACGATTCACATCTCTTTGTTAAAGATTTAGCATGCGATGGGCAAGATATTGAAGTAATACCGCGCAATAAAGAAAAATACATTTCATTTAGCAAATCTATATTAGTTGACGTATGTGATAATAAATCAGTTTTCATGAAAATTAGATTTTTAGACTCGTTTCAATTCATGCCATGTAGTCTTAATAATCTAGCACAAAATATAACTTCATATAATCACGTTGCCAAATTTTTCCCAAATTTGGAAATGCAAAGATTGATGACTAGAAAAGGAGTATTTCCATATGAATATTTGGACGATTGGCAAAAGTTGAATGAAACTCAATTACCGGATAAAGACAAATTTTACAGTCGTCTTAATAATTCAGAAATATCTTTAGCTGAGTATGAACACGCTAAAAATGTATGGACTTTCTTCCAATGTAAAAATATTCAAGAATACTCTGACCTATATTTAAAAGTAGACGTACTTTTATTAGCTGATATATTTACAAATTTTCGCGACACCTGCTATAAAACATATAATTTAGATCCAGCTCACTATTTTACAGCACCAGGTTTAAGTTTTGATGCCATGTTAAAATCAACTAAAGTAGAAATTGAACTATTAACCGATCACACTATGCTGAATTTTTTACAAAATAACATGCGTGGAGGTATTAGTCAATGTTCCCATCGGTATGCGAATGCTAACAATGAATATACTATACCATACGATGTTTCAAAACCGCGTAGTTACTTATGTTATTTAGATGCAGTTAATTTATATGGTTGGGCTCAAAGTCAGTATTTACCCATTGGCAAATTTGAATGGCTTGAAAATTTTCAAAATCTGGATGTTTCTCAAGTTGCTGATGATTCGGAGATCGGGTATATTTTGGATGTTGATATTGACTATCCAGACACATTGCATAATGAACATAATGACTTTCCACTTTTACCTGAAACTATGAAACCACCTGGTTCAAAAACTAAAAAATTATTAACAACATTACAAAACAAACAAAATTATGTTATACATTACAGAAATTTAAAGCAAGCCCTAGCGTTTGGTCTAAAATTGCGTAGGATCAATAGAGTTTTAAAGTTTAAACAATCAGATTGGTTGAAACCATATATAACACTTAATACAAAATTACGTCAAACAGCAGCCAATGAATTTGAAAAAGCATTTTATAAGCTAATGATAAACGCAATCTTTGGGAAAACCATGGAAAATGTATTTAAGCGAATGCTTGTTAAATTTGTAAAAAATTGGGAAAATGAGATGAAAAGACAGGGTGCACGTTCACTAATCAGTAAACCTAACTTTCATAGCTGTAAAATCTTTAATGAAAATCTTTGTGCAGTCCAATTAAATCCTACTAAAGTATATTGCAATAAACCATTGTTCGTTGGTTTTGCAATTCTTGAAATATCAAAAACATTAATTTATGATTTTTATTATAATTTTATTAAAACGATATATCCAAATAATGCAAGCAAACTCCTATACATTGATACAGACAGCCTAACTATTCATTGTTATGACAAAAGCATCTATGATGTTATATTAAACAATCCAACACTCTTCGATACATCAAACTTTGAGAAAGGAAATGTTTACAACATAAAACAACAAAATAAAGCACAGCTAGGTTTATTTAAGGATGAATATGGAGGTAGAGTTATGCAAAAATTTATTGGCCTTAAATCGAAATGCTATAGTCATATGTTAACATTCAATGTAATAGGTGCTAAAAAAGCAAAAGGAACAAAAAATGTGTTGTAAAAAATAATATCACATTCAATGACTATGAAGATTGTTTACTAAATCAAACGTCAAAATATGTTAAGCAAGTAGTATTCCAAACGGAATTACACAATATTCACACTTCAGAGCAATATAAGAAATGTTTAAGTTTTGAAGATGATAAACGGTGTATTTTAGAAGATGGTATTTCCAGTCTTGCTTGGGGGCATTTTAATTTATAAAAGGAGAACTATAATGTAAAACTATAATGTATAAAATATTACTCAACGGATCAATTTGTATACTTGTTTATTTTTATTTTGTTATTTATAACACCCTATATATGCTATTTGTAACACGCAGTATCTCCGATGGTTCAAGTTTCAAAATTCCCACCAAGAAAATATTACTCAACAGGTCAATTTGGCTGATACTAACAAAAAAAAAGGGCCTGGACTGGCTGATAAAAACGAAAAATGGGGCCTTCACTGGCTGATACTAACAGAAAAGGAGCCTTAACTGACTAAAAAAACTAAAAAAAAAAAAATTAAAAAAAACTTGGGGCGTCCCACCTTAAACAGTAAAATATGAAAACTTATTGTGATTGCGAGTGTTTCAGAAAACAAAGATGAGCGTATAACAGATCTGGTCAACAAACTACTCTAGACTGAGTGAGTTAGAGTAGATGGTTGGAAACAAAAGATGGTCCGAGGACGAACCAAGGGCAGGAAGGCCGTGTAAGGTTGCGTATATGACCATGCACCAACAACATGCAGAACACCCGGTGGACATGCAGTCACATCACTGATGGGGGGTTTTTCTGTTCATGTCAGCGACTTGCGTCGCTTGGCATGCGTCTCCTAAGAAATAACACGGACTCGTGCTCCGGCATTCGTTGTAAACTGTTCACAATTAAGATCCGACCGCTCTGTATTTCTGAATAAAACTAGTAAAACCGAAACAACATTTCGTAATTCTAACATAAATATGATTTCTGGGCTCTATATGAATCGCATAACCTGGATAACTTGCTATTGTAGTAGGTATGCTCCACTAATATTATTGCACTCTACTCTAACACTTTAATAATAAAAACTGGAAGATCAGATGAGTGTAATTTATTTGCTGTTAAGATCTTGCTCCCCGAAAATCCCAACAATTTTCCAATAGAATCATGATTTTTAAAATTCACTTAATATTTACACATTAATTCAGCTTTAATAGTAATCCTCCTTTTTAATTGTTCACGTAGATAATCTTCAATATCACTGATTTCATATGATCCCGTTGGAATGGTTATTACTTTATTTTCATCATAATAAAATTTATTGCATCCATCCTCAATATTTGGAATTGTGTTGTATGTGTAAAATCCAATTAGGGCTAAACAGTAATGATCATTTTGCAGATGTATTGGAGGATAATATTTCCCCTCTAATACAGATGATGAACCATTTATCGTAAATGTGTATGACATATTGGTACAACTTGATGCGTCTAATAGGAATGTGATACAAAGGTTGCCACAATTTACCAAATTGTATGATTGATATTGGTGATAATTGTAATTAATTTCACAATTGCTTAAGTATTTTACTAATTCTTTCGGTGGTAGTAGATTTCCAAATGAAACAAAATATCGTACGTTTTTATCGTGTTTAATATATGCTACCCAATGCGTCCCTGCTGACTTCACACTGTCTAAATTCACAACAGCACATTCCCGTTTCTTTGCTCTCTTTGGACGAGTGTGTCGCATGAAAACACTTCTGAAGTCTTTTATGTACTTTGTTGCAAATTTATTTATATCAAGATCAGTCAATGGTCGATTTTTGGGTAACGTTTTCATAAGTTTTTTGGATTTTGTTTTAAATACAATCCATAACCTTTTCGAAATGGTTTAAGATGCAATCCTGAACCACTTTTTCCCAGCGCGACTGCTTCCATCATTCTATTGTGTCGAGCTGCTTCGGCAAAATTTGCTCGAGCGCTATTTGCATCAGTAACGGCTTTAGCTATTCCTGCAGCACCTCCTGATAGTGCGCCCAAAGCGCTAAGTCCAGCAAAAATTGGAATTAATGGAAGAATTCCTCATTGTTTTGGAATGGGTATTACCCGAGGTGCGCTTATGATTGTATTCTTGCGTATATTTTTCTTAGCTGATTTTGCTACCGCTAAAGCAATATTGCTTCCTTTTAAAATATCAGTTGGTTGCTGTTTTAATCGCATTCGATTCCTAACTTTATTTAAAACACCAGTTTGAAAGGAAACGACTTTATTTAACTTATTCTTTCTTTTATTTTTCTTTAGGCCCATACCTAATTTACGCTTGATTTTCATATCAGCAGTCACAATTAATGCTCTCACCCAACTTAGCGTCTGATGATTTAACACGTTTCCACGCTGCTTGCTGAAGAACTTTATCTGCTTGGTGTCTTTTTTCTAATGAATTATGTGTTGAATATGCAATGTCGTGATTTCTACACGCTGCGTCTAATCCATTAATACCTTTATCGTTCCTTTCTAAACGCTTTGCTAATTTAGTGCCAGGGCCGCAAAATTGATAACAAGGAATATGTGCTTCAAACGGAAGCCTGTTGATTACTGAATCTATTATACCATCATGTTTCTTTCGTATGCAAGACATCTTTATATAAACTAATATAAAAAAAACAGCAGTTTATATACCTGTTTGAGGTGGGTTTGTGTATGTATGTGTGTTTCAATCTCTTTATAAAAAAATATGAAAACAATTAAACATAAAGTGCAGCTGCCTATAACAAATATGTATCAACGTTGTTGGGAAAAAAGAAGTTGTTTTGCAAAACATGGAGATTTATTTCCAACAACGTTAAGAACTCTAATTTGTGGCCCATCAAATTGTTGCAAATCAAACGTTATGTTATCGTTATTACTTGATATTAATAGATTACGATTTGAAAATGTATACATTTACTCAAGATCATTGTATCAACCAAAATATCAATTTTTAGAAAAAATATTTAAGAATATTGTAATCTATTTTCCAAATAAGGATAATGAGGAAATTCAAAACCCTGAGGATGCGAGAGAAAACTCAATTTTTTTTTCGATAATGTTGCTTACTGCAATCAAGACAAAATTCGAGAATATACCGAAGCAACTCATACGTAATAACGTAAATTTTATTATTTTACTCAAACAAGATGATTTGAATTTAAAGCATGTATATCATGATCATGTGGGAAGTGATATGTCATTTGGGTGTTTTAAAGAAATGTGTGGTAAATGTTGGATTAATAAATACTCATTCATCTGCATTGATAAAGATAAAAATTTTGACGAAATTATACAATTGAACAAGTACCTAACAATATGGATCTTAAACAATCTAATAGTGAAATCAATGCAAAAAAAGAATTGATAAAACTTCGAAAGAATATAAAACGAAAGGTATTAGCTCTTAAATTAAATGAAACTGAAAATGATCAAACATTTATGAAAACATATGATGCAATCATAAATCCCTTACAAACAATTGCAAAACTTAAACCAATTAAAAGTGAGAACAGGGATAAATTAAAAATTAAAGCAGATCCTCGTTCAAATATTAATAATGAAGATACAAAGGAAAGCAAAAGTAAATAGTGTGTTGAAGAAGGAAAGTGACCGGGATGGGGAAGATAGGAGTATGAAGATGCGGAAGATGTGGAGTATGAAGATGAGGATGAATTAAAAATAGTTGATATAAAACCTATTACAAATAATGAAATGATCAATCAACACCTTAACGGATTTATTACCAATGCAAAGAAGTATGATATGAAACTTGGTTTGAACTATAATCCACACACAAAGCAACTGTATATTGGTAATCAAATAGCGCAAATTGATAATAATTCTATAATTATAAAGCAAATTCGATTTCCCTTAACAACTGGTCTTTGTGAGTTACTGTTTTTTAAAAAAACCTATGAATTATACGGAAGATGATGTTTTCAATTATATACAAATTTTAAAAATAAGTAGGGTAGACTGGGTACGGTAGTACCAGGGGGGCGGTAGTACCAAAGCAAATATCTCGTGAACAGTTGAGCACAGCCCTATGCGTTCAAGGAGTGATAGTAGCCGCATACAAGTTGAAGTATGTAAGTTGTAAGTTGAGTCACACAAAGCCAGTTACACGCGTGTAGGACGTGTTTTTGATTTTTTGAGATCAAAAGTAAATATTTGATGATGAATTGTTTTTAGTTTTTAAATCTTGTCTTGCGTGTTATATTATACGTGTGTGTTTATTGAAAATAAATGGTTTTTGAAGAATAAAGGTATGTTAATCAAATTCTTGTATCTCTATTATTTTTTTTATTATTAAATATAATTTGGAAAATTTCCACATGGGGACGGTTGTACCAAATAATATGGGGACAGTTGTACCGGTATAAACGACCCCATGCCTTGTATTATTTTAAAGTAAAATTTCTTTTTCTTTCTAATCGTAAAACGTTTGCTTTATATTAGATGCCACGAGTACGTATTCGCAAAACAGGAAAAGGCCAACATGATGATAGCGCTTATATCAATGCCTATGAGTGTATATTGAGTGTAAGAACTGGGCTCATGAGCAATGCACTGACGGAGAACCCAGCTACGTATGCAATAATTGTGATTCCAACTAATTTTATTGTTGCACACATAGCAGGACATTTAAGTATAATTTTAAAAGTGTTTTCTTTATTGTAATAAATACGTTTATTGTAATAAATAAGTTTTATTTCTGGATGGTACAATCGACCCCACCCCCTGGTACAACCGTCCTGAGGTCTGAGGTCGGTTGTACCATTTCTCACCCACAACAAAATTTAGATTTATGAAGGTACTTGTAACCTTGAGGGATTAAAAATATGGGCAAAACGTAGCCAGATGATTAGGCATTAAACTATGACAAGTACC